AACCCCGAAGATCTCAGTTGTTGACTATAATCCATTGTGGCTGCTTCATTTCAGGAAAGTAACCATTACATTCCACAGTAATAAAATAAATAATTTACACCTTACAAGGAATAACAGTCAGTTTTATAATGGTTACTCTTCTGAAATGAGATATCCTCGATAAAGTACACAGCCTACAAATATCCTGGGAGAAACACTCTGTGGAATAAAGCAATGGGACTCTGGTGACAATTTGCTTCCCAGCAGCTTTCCAGACTCTTAGGTTCATGAAAGGTTTGCATGTATAATCATGTGCAAACTTGATAGCAAACACACACATACAAAAAAAAATTCATGCACCTGCAAGTAATTGTGTCTCATTTTGAAGGCTAACCCCGAAGATCTCAGTTGTTGACTATAATCCATTGTGGCTGCTTCATTTCAGGAAAGTAACCATTACATTCCACAGTAATAAAAGAAATAATTTACACCTTACAAGGAATAACAGTCAGTTTTATAATGGTTACTCTTCTGAAATGAGATATCCTCGATAAAGTACACAGCCTACAAATGTGACCTCTGAAGGGCACAGCCTTCAAAATAAGACAGCTTATATGTGCAAACCAGAAAAACTGAACGGCAGGTATTAATCTAACCTCCACTTGATTTAATTGCTAGACATGGCCCATCTTCCCTAAATCCCGCCCTCCAACCCGCACACACACATACAGAGACGTTGTGAGACTGTAATCTCAATTTCACAAGCAAGGAAAATAAAATAAACACTAAATATGATGTGAGCAAAGCCATTGTGAGCTCAGTTTTACAGTGACCCTGTATAAACACTGTAATGTCAGTTGTGAAAAGAAACGTTAGTGTGCTTGCATGACAAACTGACACTCTCAGCTTCCTGGCTTTCCATATAAGGTCTGACCTGTGAACATCCATAATTACTGACAAGGAAAAAGTGCTTCTGATTCGCTAAACAAAGAATCTGACAGCAGCCCGTGCTCATATTTTATAGTTTACAGAGCCAGAGGCTGTCACAAAGACAAGGGCAATATTTCAGGACAGCTATTTAGCTAAATACGTGTCATTTCATAACAATTTTTACAGCACTTTTAAATTTGAGAGTGTCCAAACCTATTATTTGCACATTGCAATCACCCATAATCCATCACCAAAAATATGCCCATGAAGCACACATACAATTTGTTAGACTGCAGCACATTAGCATACTTTATTTGAGATCTTAGTAAATCAGGTCATCAGACTCTGAGACGACATAGCAAGATGGAGCCAGTTTGGAAAGCATTGTTCATGTAAGGACATGTACACTTGCAGAAATCTACAAATCACAACAAATTTTCTCTGACCACAATTTACACCAGTTGACAAATTTACACACAGTACAAAGGTTAAAGGAAAAACAGAGCTACATAAGACAAGAATGCAGACAAAAACATTGTCTTGTTTTCCAGTACAAATAATGAAATATTCTTAATTCAAGAAACTTTTACTTGAACAGCAATATTACACGATATTAAGTCTTGTTTTCTGAAAAATTTTTCAAAATGTAGTGACTTTACGCTGCCAATGGAATAATTTAACAATGGATTTTTTTTTTTGTTTTAAATGTAAAGCAGAAAATAAGACTTGCGTAATATTTTAAGTAATTTTGCTTTTCAAGTAAATGTATCTTAAGAATAAGATTTAGGCTAGAAAACAAGACTAGAATACAAGAAAAAAAGAAAAAATATACATAGAGTTTTGTTTTTGTGTGTGTAGTTTTATAAATTAAGAAATCATTTGAAAATGCCAAACCCTTCTCGTGAACTTTCAAAACATAAGTTATTAAAATTAGGTTTTAAATGCAGGAAATACATTTTCCAATCATTAAATATATCAAATATTTAATATTTAAATGTAAGTCAAACACCAGGCGCTTCATGAACACAAGGATCCTGTTTTAATATAAAAATACTTTATTAAAGATGTCTGTACTCTTTATGTGACCCTGTAACTGTTCCTGCTGCTAATGTCACATCTGCACTAAAATCATCAAAGGCCACAGCTCAGTCCATCTGAGTTTCCATGAATGCATGCCAGGGCTCAAACGGTAACGGCTTTTTTCTTTTCTTATTATCTCGCACTGGCTCCAAAGACATGTTTTTCGCTAACTCGCCTTCCAAAGACAATTTAACCAACTTCGTCTTACACAGTTGCTGTGTGCATAAGACTTCAACAGTATGTCTATAGATGTGAACTCACATGTGTTGATCTTGTATCCTGAACATGCTGCAACTTACACTAGCTCTATATGAACAAGTGGGCATATGTGAACTCCAGGAAAGGATCCAGGCCTCTGTGAGTTAAAGGGAATTTTTAATGAGTTTTTGCTCTGGATCACCAAGTTTTGTCATCATGTTTGGTTGAGACTGAATATTTCCTCCCAAAACAGTTAACTTTACCACATAGTGTCCAATAAAGTCAACCACAAGAGTGGCAGCAGTTTTCTGTTTCTCTCTCGCAGAACCAACTGAAGTTTACAGACCTGGTCATTTAAAGGGTTTAATAAAATAACCTCTACTGGGCTGTAGGCATTTTGCAAACTGTAAAGTTACACTAGTACTCTTTGCCTCCCCCCGCACCTTGTCAGGGTGTAAGACAGCACTTAACAAGCGTCACATTTTTTAATTAGGGTGATAAAACAGAAGCAGCTGCCATGCCATCTGGAGTATCTCAAGTCCTGCTCACTAGTGCACTTTAGCTGTGCTGCTGCACTTACCAAATAACTTATTTGTAACTTCTGTCAGGTTTACTTAATGCAAGTACACTGACATATATTCAAGAAAGACATATTCAAGCATCTGACAGAAATCATATTTATCATTTCACATGATTCAATTTGTGGTACTTGCACTATCATTCAAACGTTTGGGGTCAGTAAGCCTATTTTTTTTCTTAAAAAAAAAAAATGTAATACTGTTATTTAGCAAGAATACATTAAATTGATCAAAGGTGTCACACACACACAAAAAGTGCCATTTATCATCTATAGAAAACAATGCTGTTTTGAAACTTATATTCTTCCTAAAAAAATATCATGGTTTCCACACAAATATTAAACATTCCAACTGTTTTCAACAACAACAACAACAACAATAATAATAATAAGAAAATGTTTCTTGAGAACCAAATCAGCATATTAATAAAATAATTTAAGAAGGATCATGTCACACTGAAAAGTGGAGTAATAGCTGCTGAAAATTCAGATTTACACTTACACTAGCTCTATATGAACAAGTGGGCATATGTGAACTCCAGGAAAGGATCCAGGCCTCTGTGAGTTAAAGGGAATTTTTAATGAGTTTTTGCTCTGGATCACCAAGTTTTGTCATCAAGTTTTTTTGCTGAGGCTGAATATTTCCTCTCAAAACAGTTAACTTTACCGTGTAGTGTCCAATAAAGTCAACCACAAGAGTGGCAGCAGTTTTCTGTTTCTCTCTCGCAGAACCAACTGAAGTTTACAGACCTGGTCATTTAAAGGGTTTAATAAAATAACCTCTACTGGGCTGTAGGCATTTTGCAAACTGTAAAGTTACACTAGTACTCTTTGCCTCCCCCCGCACCTTGTCAGGGTGTAAGACAGCACTTAACAAGCGTCACATTTTTTAATTAGGGTGATAAAACAGAAGCAGCTGCCATGCCATCTGGAGTATCTCAAGTCCTGCTCACTAGTGCACTTTAGCTGTGCTGCTGCACTTACCAAATAACTTATTTGTAACTTCTGTCAGGTTTACTTAATGCAAGTACACTGACATATATTCAAGAAAGACATATTCAAGCATCTGACAGAAATCATATTTATCATTTCACATGATTCAATTTGTGGTACTTGCACTATCATTCAAAGGTTTGGGGTCAGTAAGCCTATTTTTTTTCTTTAAAAAAAAAAAATGTAATACTGTTATTTAGCAAGAATACATTAAATTGATCAAAGGTGTCACACACACACAAAAAGTGCCATTTATCATCTATATAAAACAATGCTGTTTTGAAACTTATATTCTTCCTAAAAAAATATCATGGTTTCCACACAAATATTAAACATTACAACTGTTTTCAACAACAACAACAACAACAACAACAACAATAATAATAAGAAAATGTTTCTTGAGAACCAAATCAGCATATTAATAAAATAATTTAAGAAGGATCATGTCAAACTGAAAAGTGGAGTAATAGCTGCTGAAAATTCAGATTTATCTGGACAGAAGATATCTCCTGTGTTCTTGGCTCTCAGCCCCGTTAATAAAACACCACTGCTTTTGCAAAGTTAAAACTCTCCAGACAGGTCTTTGGAATGTCTATCTCCACATACGTATGAACCTGCACTTTATTTCTTCATTGGAACCCAAAATGAGACATTCTGAAGAATGCCTCAGTCATTTTCTGGCCATACAATGAACGTTTTGGACCTCAGTGACACTTTATATAGACAATAACAGCTGAAACATTCTTTAATTAATCTTTTTGTATGTTCCACAGAAGTAAAATAAGCAAGTAAGTACAGATTAAGTAAGTAAGCCATGATTACATGAGGGTGAGTAAATGATGCAGAACAGTCATTTTTGGGTGAATGTCCCTTTTAAGAGCTTATCCTACCCAAATGGGCCCTTAAAAAGTACTGTTGGAATAATGTAGTCATATTGCTTCAGTCAAACTAAATAATATTTTGACTTGAATCAAACTAGCTAATTTTGATTTTACAACATGAAGCATTCTAATATGCATATAAATGCATGACAACAACACCACAGGTCTGAGAGCAGTTATTCTGAAATGTAGCAGGTTTCTGAGGTCAACGCTATAGAATAACGGAGTCATTCTTTTTTTACAAAACCTAATGCTGTGACATCAGCTCCCCTGTGTGATCATATATCTCTTTGTACACCTGAACCGTTTTTGAGGGGCATATGTGTGTGTATCTGTGAGACTGAAGAAGCATAATAAGGTACTTGCATCTGGTTTTTGACCCTTATCATCATCTGCTAGAGCTGCAGCTGCAGCCGCCCCCATTCCTGTTACATACATGATTACACACACACACACACACACACACCAGCAGCTGTCACTGCTCAAAACTCTAGTATCGCATTTCTTGCAGAGGGCTAGCTCTCCACATTACCACCATGAGACGCCAACACACACGATCACCACAAGAGTTTGATACATACACCCTGGTTTCTGCCAGGCCAACAACAGTTTCGCTAGCTGTTAGTCTGGTTGATTGCTTTAACAAACTACTTTGAGACTCTGGCTAAAATAGGAAGGGGAGGAGTGAGACATCAGTTTTAACACATACCATATAACTTCTCCTCTCTACCTATCATCAGATGGCCTCATGATAAAGTGCTACACAGTGTGGTAATTTGTGATGAAAATGAACGGTTACATTGTTCCCTCTCCATCAATGGCCCCATCAAACCTTCAATTATGTCTAATGGTACTTTTCATTAAGTTTCTCCACAGAGTTAATTGAGACATCAGCAAAGCCATTCATCAGCATTAAAGATACAAACTTCAGACCAAGAGAGCAAGTGAAGTACGTGTCAACAAACAGATCAGACAGGTGTATCTGAAACTTTCAACATATTTTTGAGGTTACTGGCTGATGGTTAGAAAACCTAAACTATTGTTTTTGAAAAATCTTGTCTAGATTAATATTTTTGTAAAGTCTTTTAATCTATATAAATTCGTTATCTATTAATTTATTTTTTTTAAAATATGACTTCAATACACTTCTTACGTTTCTTAACATTTCAAATTTCTTATTTTTTGTGCATAGTCAAACGTTTTAAAATTATACAACTGTCCTGATTTATTATTAATAATAATAATAAATAGTTTGCTATAAACCCTTTAAAAAAGTAAAATATATATATATTTTTAAATAAATAATAATAATATATATATATACATGCATTAAAACATTAAATATATTTTTTGAAATAATGAGTAAAATATGTACACTATAACTAAAGGAAAATATAATAATAATAATAATAATAATAATGATAAAATGTTATGTTATATAACGACTTTAAAAGTAACTTCTCAAAGTACTTTACACTAAAAAGTATACAAAGTAAAAAAAATTTAAGAAAAAAAACACATCAAAAACAGTATAAGAGAGAAACAAAACTGGCAGCAAAACTAGCAGATCACAAATAAGCAAGTCTAAAAAAGTGAGTTTTAAGAGAGGATTTAAAAACATTAAAATATTTTGCATGTCTAATATCATAGGGAAGAGAGTTCCAGAGTTTTGGAGTAACAAAAAAGCCCGGTCACCCATAGAGCGTAGACAAGTTGTGGGAACGGTCAAGAGGCGAGAACCAGATGATCGGAGATCAGGCCTAGGAGAGTATACAGTTAAAAGTTCAGATAAGTAATGAGGTGCCAAGCCATGCAAGGCCTTATACGTAAGCATCAGAATTTTAAAGTCTATATGAAACCTAACAGAGTGCCAGTGTAGGCATTCCAAAATTGGAGTGATGTGCTCTCTAGTTCTGGTCCCTGTCAGCATTCTAGCAGCTGAGTTTTAGACATACTGCAATTTATTTAGGGTAGTTTTTGAGACCCCTGCAAGCAAAGCATTGCAGTAATAAATGCGGGAGAAAACAAATGTATTTATTAGTTTTTCTGCCACCGTAAAGGACAGTATGGGGCGCAGTCTTGCGATGTTTCTGAGATGAAAGATTGACGTTTGAAAAACATACTTTGAAAAACATACTTTATATACTTTTTTTGTACCTTATGTACTCATTAAATTCAAACCTTTCTTGAAAATGGTATAAAAGTTTTTTTCAAAACCATATGAAATCAGAATTTCCCTTTCATGGGAACTTCGAACTGCGTCCTCTAGGGGTCGCTATGGGGAACGCCTCGTCGTGACCCGTGTCTGAAGCATACATCCGTTTTCGCGCACCGCCTCGATATTCGCATAACTGGTATGCTGAAACCGATGGATGCGTGAGGAAAACGGCTTCTTCCCTTCCTTCTCGCTCTCAGTATGGAGATCAGGAAGGAAAGGGAGACTCACCTGAGCTGGAGGGTTATGGCCAGAAAGATAATGTTCGTCGAGACGACCTCGCGACGCCACTTCCTTAGTCCGCTTCCATGGCAAGTCAAGTCTTGCCGTGGCGCGATCCATAACCTCTAAGAGCTCATCATACGCAGGGCAGGAGGATTGGGAAGGCTCAGCCTCAGCTTCTTTGCTCTCATCATCCATTTCCTGCTCTTCCTGGGCTGAACCCAGCAGAGCACTGGCCCCTGGATCAGATGATGTTAAAGAGAGAACATCATCCTCCAGTGGCTGTCTCTCGCCCCCCGCCGATGAGCGCGGGAAGGAAAGCCCCTCTCTAAACTCATCGGCCAGGTCCACCTGAGATCGCCACGAGCTCATTCTCCTCCGTGCCTCAGCAGCGGCGGGTCCTGAACTGCGGGGAGCAGATGGCTGCCCCTCTTTACTTGAAAAGAGAGACAAACGAGAACGGAGTTTTTTCATTGGAAAAAACTCGCAATGCACGCAGATTGCCCCCTCGAGGACATCGCGTGCGTGCTCCTCGCCCAAACAAACAACACATAAATCGTGTGTGTCATCTGGTGTCAAATAGCGCTGACACGGATGCACACACCTTCTAAATGCTCTACTAGTGCTCGCCATAATAAATAGATAGCTCTTACTTTTTCCTTGAAAATGCACGCTTCAAACAGAACAGTCAATGAAGACGAAGAAGTGAATGATGTGTAGCTCCCGGCGCCGATTTATACTGGAGTCGCACCGGTAGTGACGTCATGGCTGTCGCCGGCCAACGAGTTGGTGTTTTTTCAATGTATGCTTCAGACACGGGTCACGACGAGGCGTTCCCCATAGCGACCCCTAGAGGACGCAGTGTCTCGTTCCCTACTCAGGGAACCATGGTTACATAAGTAACCTGAGACGATTTCTAAGATTTTTTGGCTCATTTGCAATTTAGGAATTGAGAATTTGGTTTGATTACAGTACGTGTGGCAAAACACTTAGATTTTTTCTGAGACTGGGCTTGACCAAATCTATTTGAAAAAAAAACAACAACAAAAAACACGATCTCCAACATTATCTTTTGAGTTTTAAAAATAATGTGCAATGAGATGCACATAAATGTGCAAAATATTTCCTTTCTGGGTGTGCTTGGGCTGTAAATAGCCACATTTGTGTACATCACTTCCACTGATCTCAGTTGCTAATGGCAAAGGTGAGTGATCTCAGGCTCGGCTGACTCATGTCTATCTCTGGGGTGGAGCTACTGTTTAGGGTTGTCACACTGCCCTCATCAACTCCGGCTACATGAACAATAGAAATGCTGTTACCCTCTCTCTCTCTCTCTCCTAACCTCTCTCTTTCTCTCTGGGCAGGTATTTCCTGAGGGAACATGGGCCATTATCACAGCTGAGGGGAGTCAGGTTTCTCCGCTAGACTTACTGACCCTTAAATCAATACCTGCCTCTGAATGCGTGGGCCTTTGCCAAGCTGCCTGTCCCCCTCAGCTGGGGGAACCCACTTTGTCATGCTCAATATGGTTGTCTCTCTCCGAGGCCAGGGCAGGGTGCAGGCTTGGGGGCCCCAGAAAAGACTCAGAGGCCCCAAAAGAGGCTGAACAAGAAACACACAAAACATTGGAAACAAGGGAGGAAGGAAGAGAGGAGGAGGCCTGGATACAGGTATGTAACTGCTGGTAGGCTGAAGTTACAGGTTGAGAAGGTCACTGAGTATGGCAGTTAATAATTCGGTACCGTTAAAAAGGGAAAGTTCAATAACATATCTAATACAAAATGGCATCATGCAGCCTCATAACTTGTGCTTAGGCAGGAAGAGTCAAAATATGTACCCCTAACATTTTCCTTGTCTTCCTTAAGCATGATGTGACCCAAACCCAAAATATCTGCAGAACTGATAATGGCGATGGAGAGGTCGGTTGCTGTTGTGGGAGTACGAATTGTAAAAAATGAATCACATTGCTATCAAAAAAGGAAAAGCAACAGAATCTTTCCAGATGTGCGTTTTGGTCTTTGCCTGTGATGAAGATGCATATATCTGGACATCGTAATCCCAAACTGGCTCGGAGCCCAGAACTTTCCCCCTATGATTAATGGGACATCTGTGGAGGGATGGAGTCATGGTGAGGGGGTACTTTGCTGCCTTTAGCTGATGCAATAGGGACAGGTGCTGATTTAGTACACTCAGTTGTTGACTATCTACACAGAGCTTTAAAAAAAATAAAATAATATCCCATTACAGGGACACATTACATGTTAAAACGACTACATTTTGAAGCTATAGTGTAAAGACTTTTCTCCGGAATGGATTCTTTGGGGGCTCTTAAGAGGGCAATCAAACAATTTCGGCATATGTAAGCAGTGACAGTCCGTGTACACACATTACAAGGAAAATATGACTGAGATCAATGTTTCAAATCTACTGTGCCATGTAGGGATAGGGGATCTCAGCTGGTAGACAGTAAATGAGCTTGTTACGTTTTGTCAGAGTACATATACTGTACAGTATATTGCTGCAGAGAGAACAGTTTCAATCTCAATTCTGTCTATTGCTAATGAAAACAAGAGGAAAACATATTGAATATGCTTGTGAAATGAAGGCTATTAAAAACTCTATGTTTATAAGACATAATTGACTTTACACATCTGATATATGGCCCAATTATCTCACTTATTCATGCCCTGGCATTAAATGGAGGGCTTATATAAATGGTTTTAACAAGTAATATTAACTATGGCTTTTGAGTTTTTATGGAGACAGAATTGAGTGAATAACAAACACTGAGAAAAGCTAATTGGAAATGGATGCCTGCCAAAGAGTTGGCTCTTTTACTATGCTCTTTAGATAAAGATTTGGAACCAAATTTGAAATGATCTTGGGTTTGAGATTTGGAGCAAAACTATTTTCCCTCCTCATAGAATCTCGTTTAACTTCTTGTATTTCTGAAATGGACTGGAATACTTCCATCACAACCCTTTAC